GTCATCACCCAGATAACCAAAGGTTACCACCAGGCACACAATCAAGCAGCAAACACATGCCAGAGAACTACCAGAGGAGCAAAACAAAACCCCCACCCTTACCAGCACTGGCAAGGCAGGCCACAGCACATACAGTGGTACCTCGGTTCACGAACTTAATTCGTTCCGTGACTCTGGTCGCGACCCGAATTGGTCACGACCCGAATCAAATTTTCCCATAAGGTTCAATGTAAATACGGTTAATCCGTTCTGACCCCTACGAATTTGGTCGCCAACCGATTTTGGCTGCGACCCGAATCAAATTTTCCCATAAGGTTCAATGTAAATACGGTTAATCCGTTCTGACCCCTACGAATTTGGTCGCCAACCGATTTTGGCTGCGACCCGAATCAAATTTTCCCATAAGGTTCAATGTAAATACGGTTAATCCGTTCTGACCCCTACGAATTTGGTCGCCAACCGATTTTGGCTGCGACCCGAATCAAATTTTCCCATAAGGTTCAATGTAATTATGGTTAATCCATTCTGAACCATATGTATTTTTTTTTTAAACTACAAAAATATGACACAAAGTACAGTACAAAGAGAGAGAACGCTAACCTTGCTCGATGCGTCTTCTGGCATGGAGGACAGGAAGGTGGGTGGGGAGGCGGTTATTGCTTGGAGGGAGAGTCCCCCTCCCTACAGGACGCCATGCACACGTGTCACGGCAGGGAAAATGGCCGCGGATCCTGTCCGTCACCCGATGCGGAGTTCGCGAACGGAAGCAAAATTTTGTGAACGGTGCTATTCATGACCCAAATTGGTCGTGAACAGAAGCGTTCGTGACCCGAGGTACCACTGTAAATAGAGAGCAAACCCCATCCCATTTCAGCACTGAAGATGTTACCTAGCTGGGTAATGAAACGTTTTCAAGAAAAGAACCAAGCTCAGAGAATCCCAAGGACTCCACAATAGATGCTCTGCCTGGTCCAATGGCTTCTAACAGGCTTCTAGCATTTCTTAAATTAGGGCTACCCAATCTGGGCTGCACACATCTGCACAGCCACTAAGAGGCAGGAAAGGTGCAGATTTTGGTCTGGTTTTGCTGCCCTCTGCTGGCCGTACAGTTGTTTGCAGCACTGACAGCCCTAACTTAAAAAGTTCTATATCCCAATCTCTGCTGCAATTGAGGGCCCAGGCTGGTCATTACCATTAATAAATCCGGCGGAACAAGGTTTAGGCTGTAAGCTATATGCAGCAAGGACCTTTGCCTCTGCTTCACGTTGTACCCTGGGGAAAAATTGTGCAAGCACAGAGAGATGGTCCTTTCTCTTGGTTGATCTGGGAAACAAGGGGGACTTCGAAGAAAGCACCGCTTGGCTGAAGTTTAGAGCTCCAGATCATTAGTTGGCCATATCCATCCATTTTATTCACACCAAACTAGCACACATCGTCCTCCTTTAGCAGCTATAATTGGGACCAGCAACTCAATCGTTAAGTGAAGTGGTCACTGTGTGAAACCGCCCGTGCATTTACAATCTGTCAGGTTCAGCCCAAAGAACTCCAAGAGACAATGCAAATACATTCTGTTGTGTGTATTAGCTACAACCTCCAGACAGAAATCTCCCCAGACTGAACCCTAGTTCCCAAGCCAACCAGCCACAACACTGTGAATTCCTTAGGGAGGTGCCAGCCTCATCTTTTTGAACTTCCCAC